CTTCAACCATTTACAAGGCTGACTCTTGAACTTGAGCATTACCTCTTTTTTGTCATCATAGCACAAAAGAATGGTGCCAAAAGTAGTTCTTTTCTTGTAGTTGAAGAAGTCTTGTTTTATGCAAAATAGTTAATAAGGCAAGCTTAAGCTTTTCTATCATTTTGAACTCATGACCAGCATGATTGAGCATAATGGATATATATATATATGTATTGAATACTACGAGCAAAGTCGACAATTATATTGAGGAGGAAGTCAAGGCAGGCAAGCTTGTTATCTCAAATGAAGCAGAGGTTCAGCTGAGTTCAACATAGTTTGTCTTTTATAGTTACAGAGACCGGGAACGGGCCCATGGCTTATGGCAGACTGCCCTTGCTGGTAGAGCTATCTGTTTGGTCTGACTTGGTGCGGCAGACGAAGGGAACTGCGTTTTCCTCGCGGGAAGCTTAATCATTTGAAGGATACACTCAGGAAATGGTCAACCAAAAAGTCTGCAACGAAACACGACCTCCAAGTGATTATAGGGCTTTTGAAGAGCAGAATGGGAAGAGCCTCCACACTCTGAGCAGACATGTAAATATTTGCATGAGGATTGACTCTGATTGCAAGTACCCTATTGAACCTCTTGCAAGGTTCAGCAATTTTTGATTTCTTGGCGGGGGAATCCATATGAGATGGCGGTATGGTTCTTGTTGAAGACGCGCGGGATAAGGCACAAGCAGCTGTCATATGGTCAGCTCCATTACAGAGCTGGAAAGACCTGTTCTTGACAAGGCTACATACATGCATACATGATGTAACAACCAATGAGTGTTAATAGCTTACATAATCTACTAAAAGCTGTTTCAGGTTTTGTTAGTTTTTGGAAACCATCATTAAGATTCTTAAAGCATGATATCCTCATCGGCACACTGTTGACTTCATTCATAAGTTGAAAATATTTATCTAAATCTGGGCCAATGGGCACTATATTGAAATCTAAGTGTGGACCAAAACGTGTTGATGCTTGTGTCATGAATCTTTTTTAAAATAAGAGAAATAAATTAAATTCAAGATGCTATTATCATGAAGAAAGTTTAGAACTACAGGCACTCTATAATTTCTATTTAAGAGTATGATTCCAAGAAATGGTGCAAATGGGTTTTGAAGTAAGCTCTCTAATACTGCATATTCCTTTTTAAATTTTAAAAGTTTTTTAGATGCGTTATATTTGGATGATGATAAACCTTATTAATCTCAAAGTTTGATAAAGACGTGCGACTATTATGTTCTTTGTCATTGTCAGCATCAGGACAGATAGGGAGATATGACCAAGGATATAGTTGAAAATAACAAGTTTACATTATATAAAATTAAGTACTGAAAGCACTTCCGAAATCTGTGGTTGAAATACTAGTAGACATTGGGGTAGCCATGACTGCCAGCATACTTGCTATGATGCAAGCGGCTGGGTAAAGTTTGAAACAACTGAACCAAGTATAGGCTCTAGTTTTGAAGCTGGGTGATATCAACTAGTGCCCATAATCATCCATGCATTAACAACACAACCTACGGCTAGCTATATACTTTGTTCAGAGTCATAGTCAGAAGATTAAGAAGAACTCTTTTCTCCCAGTTTGAAGTCATGCAGAGTCTCGGACTATGTCTTTGGAGTCAGAGGAGAGGAATAAGAAGAGGCAGAGTTTTACTTCTCCTGGACGTTTCAGGCCAGGATCTATATCTTCTCTCTCTTCTCCCGGTTTGAAGCAGACTACGTCTTTAGCAGTGGAGCTAGAATCTCTAGGAGTAGTTGCCATTACTATCAGATAAGTCTACAAGAGACTAAAATCATGCATATTTGGATCTTACTTTGCTATACTCTGTCACTACTATACTGGTTACTGCTAGGAGCCTACAACTATTTATGAGCCTACAACTGCCTCACTTTGTTAAAAAATATCAATGTCTGTAAACAGTACTATCTGCAACATCTTCTGGTGTGGCTGTTACTTTATTCTCACTGGCATAGTTGTATACTGACAATGAAAGGACATAAAAGCCAGATCCACCTTGAACTAAACTCAGTCATTGAGGCAAGCTGTTCAATGGTATAAATGAATTATCCTGAATTTTAAAATACAGCTTACCATAATGGCAAGTGAAAGAAATACCACTGATGCCTTCAGTTCGTGTGTTAAGCCTCCTTTTCCCCCTTAACTTTTTGGGCAAGACGTAATAGTAAGTGGCTTTCTGTTTTTTATGTTCTTTAATTAACAGCTGATGATCCCTCACATTTTTGTAGTAATAGATACACTTGTATCTGTGTAAAGGCTTGTTTACAATATGATGTTAAGCCAACGTACCGTCAATTTTTAATCGAAAGCGTGGGTGATGTGACCTTTTGATGCATGCTTTCCGCTAGAATAGAACCAGATTCTATTCTTGCGTCTACATAACGTCAGGACTTGCGTAATATTGTAAACCAGCTGCTACAATAGAACCAGATTCTATTCTTGCGTCTACGTAACGTCAGGACTTGTGTAATATTGTAAACCAGCCTTAAGAGAAAGATGTTGCTAATAAGCCTTAATGCATACAGTATTTCCTTGAAATCTTTTCGCCCTCGAATTCTATCCGCCCTTGAATTATATCCGCACCATTAAGAAGGCTGAATGAAATAATATTCGCCCTTGAATTATTACCGCATGTTGCGCATGCGTAGTAGAAATAATACACGTGTTGCCCACGTGTGTTTACATGAGCATTCTCTTATCATAACCTTTGCAATGGCTTCTAAAAAAAGAAGTT